CTGTGCTCAAAATACACTCAAACGGTTTCTGGCAGGGCAAATTAGTAGATTGTAAACATTATTTCCAGTGGATATCATTGTTTATTCATCTGTAAGCAATAGACCAGTCACTGACCTGTCACATCCACCCAACTTTAACAACCAAGACACCATTTCTGAAATAGCTTTCAATTAATGAGATCCTACTTTCTAGACAGATTGTTAAACAAGAGAAGAACTTCATGTTTGAGGGAAGCTGTTTTACAGTGATGCTTAATAACTAGCCCCATGGTTTCCCATCTCATCTTCTTCTCCACATGCTGCCTCTATGACAGCCTGATTCACAACCCTTTTCAGTCCCACCCACCTTCCCCTTAATCTCCACTGCTATCTCTCCCCACTTTTCCCATGCTTTTTTGATTACCTGTTTATCTGTGTCCACCCACAGTCATTGCAACCCACCCACACCTTTCCCAACAATTTTCTGACATAAGTAATATCGTTACTTTTCTCTTTAAGCTTGCAGACTCACCCTCTGTCTCTCTCTTTCTATGACTCCTGTCATCATCAAGTTCGAATGAGAAGCTACCTAGCACTGCATTGTCTGATCAGGTGTTGTTGAGTAAGCGAGTTTGCAGCCCTGATCTCTTGGGGTCAGCTTAATGCTATCCTCTGCTGGATCTCTCCTTGTAACCCGGTCTGCTGCCTGCCATCCAGGGCCTACATTTGTTCTCCAACTGTCAACTGGCCCCTCGGATGCTTACTCCTACAACATACTATGGTGCACCTCCATGCCAAACAGCCCACTCAATGTGACAAGACATCTAGGTGTGCACTACTGTATATTTGCATGCATTAGATTCTAATAGCTCAGCTAATAGTATTGCAATTTTTAATGCATACAAGGTCCAGAGAACTTTTTTGGTATCACATCTGATTCATTTTGAATTTAAACACAGGCCGCATATGCGTGTGTGTTTAGACTATGTACTCTAACTGTGATATACAGGGGCAGGCCGTTTGACATCCATGCTTTTTCAAGTCAGATTCCACCTTGAACAACTAAGGGTGATTACATTAATGAGTTGATCTGAAAAGAGAGCAGTAGTGTCAATCACTGACATTGATTGTAGTGTGAGAGTTTATTCACTGGTCATAACAGCTATTAAAGGGGTTTCTTGCATAGTAAGGACCTGGACAGGACACCTAGAGGAGGGTGCTGAAGAGAAGAGATGCAGGTAGAGTCAGGTAGATGCTGTGGTTTGTCATGGATCTCATCCAGTCTGAGATTTGTGCCAGCCATGTGTATAAACGGGAGGGGTTATGCTCATCCTATCATTTCAGTAGCCTGTTGCTTTATGGCAATAGTAAATATAGCTTAGGTGTGCTGCTGTGATGCTAAGGTAATCTGACAGGCAAGTAAAACTCCTCCTCTCCAAAACCAGCGCTAGTAGAGAATCTACAGGATCCTGTGATACCTGAGCTGTGCAGACTAAATGTATAAATGTACTTCCTGGAAACATGGTATTAACTTGCAAATGACAAATTATTATGTCCACATCAAAGATAGGCACTCAGGTTGGCAACTGGGGTCCCACATAAATAGACTTCTGACTTGACTCACAGCTTGTATCTAGCTGACTCCAGACTTATCCTGGCCTCAATAATAATTTCTATTGAACACAGAGAATGTCAGGCTGTGTAGAATGTTGAGACATTCAATTTTTGGAGGTACGCACTGTGTTTACCTGCATATATTTTTGTTTTATTTGGCTAAAAAGTTGCTCACTTTACTGACTGTGGTAATTCAGAATGGATAACCTTCGTGGATTGTAGCTAATTTGTAGTAGACATAGAGATCTCATTGACAAAAGCAACAGATGTAAAAATGACACTGCACACTGATCTCAGCTCTCGGTTTGGGAGCTAATGCTAGCTAGCAGTGATCAGCAGGTAATATAAACATTGCAAATGAATCAGTTTCTGTCCTGTCTGTGCTCAGACTGAACACTAAAGTGGATGTCACAACATAGTTGAAGCATTCACTACTATATGTAGCTGTGTGTAATTTAAAATGAACTTACAGATGTACATGTTTGTAGTGTATATCTCCAGGATGGATAATGAATGTGATGTTCGAAAAATGGTTTACCCACCACGGCATGATGACAACTGTTTTCAGTAGAAGGAAAGGTTTGGGTTATACAAGTTATCCTGAAATAAGCTTAATGACATGTTAATCACTGCTGTTGTAGTTATAATGTCAAGTTGTTGGCTCATGTTAGGCTTCTTTGTAAGGTAACATGGTTGTTCAGGATAACAGGTTTAACCTGACTGCACTCTGTGAGGGTTTCCCAATTAAGACTTCTTGTTCACAGCATTTTTGTCTTGTAGTTATTTGCCAAACGGAAAACCTGTTACTATAGATGTTAAATGTGTGGTGCTTATAATGTTACCTAATATACACTTACAGTAATACAGCTGGCAGTTTATTAGACAAACCAAGCTAAAATTAATGTAGTGTAATACAACAGTGCTGCAGTAAATCCTCCCTCATGAAGGTGAAGATGTTACATTTGTGTTCAAACTGTTTCACAGAGGTCTTGATTAAACTTTATTATCATTTTGGAAGATAGAGTTTATGCTGTTGTTGAATTACATTGTTTTACATAAGGTTTTTTGATTATCTTGTGCACCACATTTATATTTATGAGGCCAGGCTAAATAACAGAAACAACTTTCTGTAAAATGCACTAATGCTGCTGTTGAACTATATAGCACATGGTTGCATGTAGTGATGCACTGACGTACACATGCACAGCATAAACATTCACAATATCATGACAAACCCCAAAAGCTAATCCATGTCACGTGGAGCCTTATAGTTATATAGTTCACTGATCACCATCTCATGAAACCATCTGCATTTATTCATGTTCATAACCAACCCCTTTGTCACTGCAACACCAGAGAAGCATTTGGTATCATTATGTAAACAACTTATTCCCAGTTTCATTTAAAAAAGGCATTGTCCAGGCTATATAAAACACATGCACTGTAATAATTCCATTGCACCTTTTCTAAGAAATAATGCTGCATTATTACAGTATGTTATTGTTATGTCACATTTGCTAAGTCAGGTCAGGGTGTTTTATTAGCAGCACAGAGATGTTGTTTCTGCTGTACCACTAAAATGGATGAATGGGTGGGATCTATTCCCCATCTAATGGCTGCTTTAAATATAATGAGCCACAACCAAGAATTCCTTGTTAATACCTAACAATGCCACAAATGTCAGCAAGCAAGCCTGTTAATACATAACAGTTATACTCAGGTGATCAGGCTTTGACATTTGACATTTCTACACCACACCAGTCTTTTGGCCATCAGGTGGACTCCAGTATTTGAAATACATTGCTGTTTGAAGCTTAGTTGGCTTATATGACCAGAAAATGACAGTCGTCATCAAGCACAAATCTCTGCTCATCACCCATTATTCTCATTACATTATATTTGAAGGTGTTTGTATATTTTGTCCTCCCCAGCTACACACTTGAGAGGGTCAGAATATTAGGAACTCCTCTGAATATAATTTAGTCCAGTACAGCACCACCTTTAACTATTACCTCAATCATAAACACATGATTGAATATAAACATTTATGACAATTTTACCAAAAACTGAAACATTTTGACCTTCATAAACACAGATGTTAAGGCGGAAGTGTTGTATTAGAGTGCATACAATAGAACAGGGATACCTAATAAAGTGGCTGGTGAGTGCACATGCTCATTATAAATTTTGTAAAAGTATTACATCTCAGCTTTCTCAATTAATTTCCCTAATGAAATCTTAATCAACCAAATTATTTTACACTTTCAGCCCCATTTTGAGCCTGTGTGATTATGTTAGTGTAGATGTGTGTCACTCAGTGGATGCTGCATAATTTCAATTATTAAATTCAAAACAGAAACCTACACAAACTGGTTTACATACATGACAATGCTAAAGATGCACATAGCATTGTCATGTATGTAAACCAGCTTTTTCCCTTGACATGAGAGAACTGCTTGTTATGGTAGTATGCAGTGTGTCCATGTTGATTAGTAATTATAAAATCTATGCCACAGGGGAAAAATGTGTACAGTTGATTTGCACTGAAATCCAACACCTACATAAAACTAGATGGGGTGTTTAGAGCATAACACTGCAATGATGGTTTTTAGCTAATTACAAAATATATTGTTCTTGTGGGTTTCTGTTTGGGAATGCCAAAGTTTTACAAGTATAGAAAGTGATATAACCTCTAGAGTCCTGAGTTTCGGAAACCCAAGCTGTGCGGTCCTCATATGAGGACGCAGGGACTCTAGAGGTTAAGCTGACGTTTGCATTTGTTCTACTACTTGTTTTATTTTTACTGTGCCAGGCTGAATGCAGTAGCTACCATTAGTCAGTGTGTCAAACAGGTGAAGCTTCAAGAGGTGGCTTCCCTAAAAACAAACACGAATATGAAACTATTAGGTTTTATGAGCTATGACAATAACAGATATTAAATTGATAACTTTTAACTGTGAAGCTGTGGTAGATGGTTTATATGTGCATAACAACTACTGTATCTGTCATACTGGGTGATTCCTTGTTCAAGATGAAAATGTAGATGCAGTGTCGGTCTGCAGTTTCAAATGCTCTGTTTTTTTCCCCACAGATCATAAGAGCTGAATAATGTGAGAGGGCACTCTGGCAGGTTTTTGATCAACAAAAATAGATTAAAGTAAAAAAGTGGCTGTATACGGACATAAAATATATTTAATTTGATAACCTGACATAACAAAATGAGTTATTGAATGTTATAAAATATTTGAATTTTGTACTCAATTAATTGTAAAACAAATTTGCTTCATTATAAATTATTTTATAAACATTTTGTGCACCTTTGTTCAGCTTTCATTTCCAGCCAAATACTGCATATTGAGTGAGAAAAGAACCAAGCAGAGAAAATGAAAACAATAGCTGTGACTCACCTGGTCTTTTGTCATTTCGCCATTTTCGACCCCCACATAGTCGTACTTTGGAGATCAAGACCAGGATCTGTTTCTGGCACAAGGACTTGTTGCTCTTAGGGCAGGGCTTGCGCTTGCTGGCTACCGGTCGGTTGGTTTGTTTGTCTTTGACTGCCCGTTTCTGTCTAATGAGAGAGCTGGCGAGAGCTGCCATTTTCCCCCCCTCTCACCTTTGGGAGGGGGGTGTCTTCTTTCCTAGTACCCCCCTCAGATGCTGTGGCTTTTGCTTTCCTCAACAAAACTAAAGTAGGATGGGGGTTTTAGAGGAGCCCCCACAGGGGAGTTTGGGCGTCTAAGTGGGTTAAGGGAATAGTTTAGTTTGAGCGTTTCCTTGGAGAGAGAAGAACTGGAAAAGGTTCAAGTTCACCTGCAGCCTAACATAAAGGCTCCACTCAAAAAATAAACCACAAAAATAAAAATCTGACTAACAAAACACATGAAAAATGCAACAGTCACATTTTCCCTCTTAAAAATAATAAAGTCCACTGTTAGAATGACTGACTTTTGAAATGAAAATAGTTCTACCCCTCTTCCCCACTCATCTTTCTCATCAAAGTGCACCTCAATAGCCAAGTTTAAAATAGTATACTGCAAAATAACTAACCTATTTTAAATAGACAATACCAAATAGGAGGAGCTCAAAATATTTTACATATAAAAACACTTTTACAAAAGACAATTGAAAGCATTATGACTGCTAGGAATGTCTTAAAAGCGCAAGAAAAATCACACAGTTTGTCACCATTTGTGCAATCCACTGAGGTCCAACTTTGCCCTCCATTTAAACGTGGCTGCATGGAATAATGAGCTGACAGTCCAAGCGGTAATCCAGCCGACTTAAATCCAGAGGTAGAGGAGCAGGCGGGACGTTGACGGCCTTTGTGGAAATGAAGCCAAGAGCAGAGCTGAGACATGGACACAGACAGACAAAGATTCCTCTTCTGCCTCCGATTGCATGCTCCTTTCCCACAGTCCTCACTGCACCCCCTCTCCCTCCTCCTCCTCCCATCCAAAGTCAGCGAGTGTGTGTGTGTGAATTCCAGCAGCCACCATCAGTAGAGGTGACATTCATGAGATAGAGAGAGAGAGCATTAAAAGAGCAAGGGAAGGAGGTATAGAAGCTGTGATGTGTGAGAATGAACCTGTCTGGGTAAAAGAACGGAAATGTGTGAGAGAGGTGGGTAGCATTGACTACAGTTTTGTTATTTTATAGCATTGCCCCTCTAAAAAAACCTCAATCATTTTGACTGCTCTCCTGAAACAGACAGTGCCAGAGGGAAAGGGAGAGAGAGAGAGAGCTTAAGGTACAGATTGTGACAGTTCTGTTTCCTTGAGAGGAACAGCATCAGCCATGTGCTACCTCCCTGTTACATGCATCCGCACATCCACACATGCAGCGTATTAGCATATTTTGTAGTCTTCCCTGCTGTGATTATCTCTAGTAAATATTTTTCTTCATCTCCCTCCCTGACATCCATTTATACAGTAACAACCTCACTCTGCGATTTGTCTCTGTGAATTCTACATATGAAACACAGGAATAAAAAGTGATTTTGGTCCCTGAAAGTGGCATTTGGTCTCTGACATAGCTCACTGCAGGCTTACGCTAACTCCGACAGAAACATGAGCTTGTACAGATTAAGTTAGACAGCAAACACACACACACACACACACACACACACACACACACACACACACACACCTCTACCCTGTTTTCCACTCACCTCCCCCATCTGCAAATACCTATATGAAAACAACAAATACACATATTGTTGATTACATATAATTCCCTCATTTGTTCAACTTGCACTTAGAAACAAATTTGATAGCTGACAAAAGAGATTTCTTCAATAATCTGGCAGCGAGCAAACTTCCAGAAGTATCAGTAGACAGCACAAATCATGCTGACATACTTTTGCATGAAATAGCGGGTGCTGGTAAATGACAATGCCCTGCAGTCAAGCATTTCTCATCTTGTAGCACTGCAACAAAAACAAGCTTTGTGCTTACTGTTTGCAAAACAAAGACGGCCTGATTTAACACAAACAGTACATTTGGTGACATAGATTATGAAGCAGGTGTTTTAAAACATTTACATTTATTTCTATAAAAGGAAATTAATAGATTGCTGTCATCTGACTGGATGTTAATAGTATGATTATGTACAATATAAACTGTTAAATATCAGTAAAAAATATGTTCACATACAACGTAAAAGTATTCTGATGCAAACAATAGCTTAGATAAATCAGGGTGCACCAGGAATCTGTAGTAAAAACACTATGAACATCTCTAGTGCAACGCCTCATACGCAAACCTAATAAATCAACTTATCTGAGAGCCAGTCAATGTGAATGTATGTAGCATGGCATTTTATTTTTCAAGCCATTTGCCAGGGAAATCAGTAATGGAAGCAACTAGAAAATGCAAAGTTAATTCAGGATCTTCAAGGTCACTGTCAGTTGGGGCTTGATTGACAGATGACAGCAGATGTCTGGTCTCCACTGAGAGAGGACTTGGCGGAGAGGGAACCAAAGATGAGATAATGCTGTTTGTATTGACAAGAAAACAGAAAAGGCATTTTTCTCCTTTTGAGTCATTCCTCCTGCATTCAGGCATCCTCAGCCATGCCCTCGTCTAGTTGCTCTGGGTTAAGAATCAATCTCCTAATGGACAACGCTGTGCACACATTGCCAAAAGCTATTCTCCCTGTTGCTCTCTTCTGTTACATTTACTTGCCAAGTTACACAAAAGAAAGCTAAGTTGATATTCTCAGGACACTATACATTTTCAAGGTTAAGAAATGTTTCCATCATTACAGTATGACATTTTCTGCTGCCCCATGAAAAAAAAGACTAAAACCAATTTTCTTTTTTTCCTAAAATCTATCATGCATGAACACAGTCAAACTACCAGCTAAACACCCATGACGTCAGGACCCATATGTTACTCCCATGAAACATAACCTCATTTTTCAACAAGGTTGTTAAACTCACACATAATCACATTCAGGATTTACAGTGTGTGTGTGTCATTATTACAATCTCTTAGTACAATTGAGATAAAAATATGACTCAAAATGAAAACTTAAAATTATTAAAAAGAGCAACACAGAATCTGAAAGATATTCATATAAATTATCATAATATCAATATTGCACAAGAGGATCCAATGCAAATGTTTTTTTTCTAAAAACAATACATGTTGCATTTCATGTCTGCATATCAATTCACATGCAATGGTATTAACAATATATCTTCCTTAAAATGTTTCATTTAAAATGTTTTTTTCTAGAATAATGATTCCCAGGTTTCAGTGAATCTGTTATGATAGCTCGAACACAGCAATGAACGAGCAATAAAGACGGACACAGGTAGCTGACTTCGGTGCAAGCAGTGATAGGTTTATTTACAGTGTAACGTAAAGTGCAATAAACAGACAGGTGCTGAATGGTATGGAGTAACTGGGTGTCGATCTGTGGCAGAGAAAAACAGTCAATGGTGTGATGGATGGTTACAGACTGGGCTGCGGATGCTGAGGTCATTCCTGAACTGGCCGTGGTTGAAGTGATGATGGTTGAGGAGACCGGAGCATGCATAGACAGTTAATGGAGACTATGCATCGACCTGTATGGAGGAGACTGGTTGGGTTGAGTGGTTCCAGGATCAGAGGAGAGGTCTGTAGACAAAGGAAGGAGCACAGGAGCAAGGGGTAAAACTTATAGGACAAGACTTCACATAACTGAAGAACTAGAGCAAATAACCAGCAAAGGGGGCCTGAAAAATAGGGATTGATCTGGCAAAGGAGTGAATGGTGAGCAGGGTATAAGTAGGGAGGAAACTAATCAGGTGCAGCTGGTGATGATCTGGGGAAGTAGGACAGGTGTGTCAGATAGTGTAATTAGGGTAAAGAAGCAAAACTAGAGTGAGGAAAAGGAAGAGAGAAAGGTGCAGCCGGGCAAACCTGACAGAATCCCATGTTACATAACAGAATAAATCCCAGTTCCCTTATTGTATCATTCCTTGCTCTTCTGCCCTCGTTTGACCTAGAGGTCATTCTAGTCTGGCATCATAAAGAATGTTCCAAAGCATTTATATTTTTGTTTTGAGGAGTGAGGATTGAGAAGGCTGCTGGAGGAGCCATGAGCGAAGACTTTTATGGACCAACATGGTTCTTTATCAGAACTTGGTTATTAGAGGCTTCATATGAAGGATCAGAGGAAAGGACATTTCATGTCTCAAAAAACGTTCTAAACAAAGGGCAAATGAAATAACCTGAACCTGTCGAAGAAACTAGAGTGTGTTTTAAGGCAGGAAACTTGGAATTAGGCAACTGACCAGAACACTTGGTTCTTTCCAGTTGAAATTTTTGACTGGGAACATCCAAAGTCCCGACTTCAAATGGAATGCAGCATAGTTTTCCCCAATCAGTACAGAACAGGTTGCACTTACTGATGGTCAGATGAAGTCAGTGCATTCTCAGCCACTTTTTCAGTTCCAGTGCTTTGGTAGTGTTGCTTCCATTGTTGGTTGTTATACCAACCAGCCCCTTTTCATTGAGCTTCAGGTTTGTAAGGTTATCCTGCAGGGCTTCAGCTATAAGCTCTGCAGTGTGATCTTGGGGAAAGTAGCTGGCTTGGAGATATGCAGGTTTCATCTTACAGTCTTCAAACTCATATATGGATCGCATGTCCCTCTTACCACATATTGGTTGTCAGCGTGAAATAAGTCACTTTTGCAAGCCGGTCATAAGGCTGTCTGACCTCAGTGTACATTTCTGGAAGTGCCTCTCTTGCAAAGCCTCCTCGTTTCACTTTTGCAACAGGAACTGTATCTTTGTACTCTTCTTTTCATAAGGCACACTATGGGTAAATGAAGCTCACAGTGTGCTTTCTCTCAGGGCAGGGGACTTTTCAGGCAGTGAAGGCCTTGTGGCAGAGGCTGCAGCAGCTGCACAAAGTTTAACAGACTCTTTGTACGGCAGTTTATGGTCCTGTTGTAAATGGTGGAAAAGATTTGAAGACATTTTTATAAACTAGGGCTTTATATAAACACACACACACAGCCTGAAAGAGTTTAGAACATCAAAGCAATTGGTTTAGTTCTGTAATTGTCACTCTCCCTCTCTCTCTCCATCAGCCTCTCAGCGCATCACAGTGTCTGCAGATGACAGGAGGTTTTCTTCAGTAATCCCATTCCATTATGTGACCATGTGGAATCTGAGGCCTGTTTCTTGCATACAAAATAATAGTTACAGTTTCCATGAACCATGGGTGAGTTGCTCATCTTTGACCATAATAATATATGAAAAGAAAAAACAAACAAACAGGAGAGTGATGCTGACCAGTGGAGGATGACAGTTCTTGCCCAGGGATTTCTGAGCTGGACTAGAGCACTGGGGCCATACAGAGCACTTTACTGTAAGTCCTCATCTCAGCAGACCTCCATGTGTGCACAAAGGTCCTGTTCAGCTGCACCACATCTGATCTCAGATGCGGTGCTGGACAAACACACGTTTGTACATATGGCCTCAACACTGGTCACAATATTTGAGACATTTAAAGAAATTGATAAAAATTTCAAATAAAGATTTTACCTCTGTTTTAAGTAATGTGTTTCTTAATTCTAAGCTATAAATAATCACACTGTAAAAGTCAAATTAATTGTAAAGCCTTTACAAACAAGCAATTGCTGTAATTACTTAGTTTTAAGTTTTGGTATAGTGTTTATTAATCTCAAAAGATAATAATTCTTTGTAAAATAATTAAGAAAAAAAATAGTTTTTTATTTGAAACTTATACAACTGTTGAACTGAAGAAAAAGCAATAACCACTCATTTCACATAAACATGTCAGCAGTCAAATGTGTGTAATCATGTTCTTGAGTGTGCCTAGATTGTGTTCTTGCATAATAACAAACACCAGATAAGAAAACACTGGTGAATGCCAGA